ACTTGGCAACAAGCAACCTTATCTACTGAGCCATGTTACATGATTTGATTGATTCATTTATTTATTTGAGACAGGGACTTACACATTAGCCTCAGTTGGCCTTGAACTTGTGGCGATCCTCCTGTCTCAACCTTCTAAGCATTGAAATCATAAGGCATGAGCCACCATATGTGGCTTTTCTTTAAAATGTCAGTCTTATATATCACAGGCTGACCTTGAAGTGGCTATCTACTGAAGGATGACCCAGAACTTCCGTTCTCCCTGCTGCTCCCCTCTGTGGACTAGAACTTCAAGGGTACACCATCACACTCAATTACACAGCACTGGGGATTAAACCCTGTGCTATGCAAGCACTTTACCAACTGAGTTACATCTGCAGCCCTGCTTTATTAGTTTGGGACAGGGTCTTGCTGTGTAACCCAGACTAGCCTCAAATTCTTGGCAGTCCTCTGGCCTTAGCTCCATCGTGCTATGATTAGAGTAGGGTGCTACTACTCAGGTTGCTTTTTGTGCATATATGTTTATGTCTTAGTTAGGGTTCCAATTGCTGTGAAGAGACACCATGTCCACAACAACTCTTTTTTTTTAATACTTTATTGCGTGTTGGTGAGAAGGTGTCACATCCCCTGAACTGGAGATATAGTTGTGAGCTGTTGGGAATTGAACCTGGATCCTTTGGAAGATCAGCCAGTGCTCTTAACTGCTGAGCCATCCCTCCAGCCTCACAACAACTCTCATAAAGGAAAACATTTAACTGGGGCGAATTACCGTTTCAAAAGTTTAGTCCATTATTATCATGGTGGGATATGGCAGTGTGCAGGCAGACATGGTGCTGGAGAAGAAACTGAGAATTCTACATCTTGATCTGCAGGCAACAGGAAGCTTGAGCATAGGAGACCGCAAAGCCCACCCTCACAGTGACACACTTCCTCCAACAAGGCCATGCCTACTCTAACAAAGCCACATGAGCTTATGGGTGCCAGTTACATTCAAACCACCACAATATACAAATATTTTTAGTTGCAGGTATACATACATATGTGTTCAGGGATGTGTATGTGTGTGTGCAAACTTGGGGTCAATCTCTCTTCTGTGGTTTCTCTGGCAGTGTCCACCTTGTTTTTTTTTTTTTTTTTTTTTTTTTTTTTTTTTATTGTTTTGTTTGATACAGGGTCTTACTACATTTGTAGCCCTGGCCAGCCTAGAACTCACTATGTAGACCAGGCTGGCCTTCAACTCACAGAGATCCACTTGTCTCTGCTCCCTGGTGCTGGTGTTAATGGTGTTCACCTAGTTTTTGGAGATAGGGTTTCTCACTGGCTTGGACTACGCTAGGCTTGTTTATAAGAAATGCTGGGTAGAAAGTCCCAAATGGGTCTAAGAGAATATCCAGAGCCTTCTACTCTAGCTCCTTACTTGGTGAAAGAAATTACATCTACAGTTTTGGAAAACCTCAAGTGTCTTTTAAAACAATTATGAATATATATATATATATGTATATATATATATAATTTGCATATGTGTATGTAGGAGCACGTGTGACCCAATGTGTTGGTGAGAGAACAGCCTGCAGGAGGTGTTTCTGTCCTTCTACTGAGTGGACCTCAGGATAAAATATAGGCTGTCACATTGATTGGCAACAGATGCTGTTGTGTGCTGAGCTCCCCGTGGTCCTTAACTGTTCAATCACCTTAGTTGGGTTGATATTCAATTGATCAGGGTCTAACAGAAGACTGGTTGATTTGTGGGGAAGTTTAGGCCCAAATGGATTGTTTTCCAGTACTCTTTCCAGATGTGAATCTGCCATTGCTCTGATTTGTCCTGTTTCCCAGTGGTGGCTCAATTGTATAGCTAATGGAGAAAGGGTTCCCCCTGGGCCAGAGCTTATACATTTGGGGGACAGTTGGAACAGATGAGATTGGGTGTCATTAAAGTAGTTCTCAGACAGAAAGTACTTCCCAGATCGGGCTGTAACAGTTGCTGTACTTAGTCACATCTAATTAAGATTCGAGATTGGCAAAAGCCATGTTGAAATTAGAATGTCCTTGATTTTACACTAATTTTAGCATTTTCTTCTTCCTGTATTATTTTCCTTTGCATTTCCATTTCCCTGATATTTATAATCATATTTTAAACAGTTGTCTTTATTTTTCAGCATTATGACTGCATAGTGTCTTCAAGCTTTTATTGCTGTGAAGAGACACCATGACCACGGCAACTCTTACAAAGGAAACATTTAATTGGGGTGGCAGCTTACAGTTTCAGAAGTTCATTCCATTCTCATGGCAGGGAGCATGGTGGCATGCAGGCAGACATGGTACTGCAGGAGTAGTTGACAGTCCTACATCTTGCAGGCAGCAGGAACTCAACTGAGACACTGGACGGAATCCCAAGTGTAGGAAACCTCAAAGCCCACCCCCATGGTGACACACTTACTCCAACAAAGCCACACTTCCTAATAGTGCCACACTCTATGAGATTATGGGAGCCAATCACATTCAGTCTACTGTAATTGCTAAACCAACACTGTTGCTTGCTTCTTTTTCTTTTCTCTTCCTGGTGTTTTGTGACAGGGTCTTACTGTGTAGTCCTGGATGGCCTTTGAACTCACTATATAGACCAGACTGGCCTTGAACTCGGAGATCTGCCTGTCTCTGCCTTCTGAGTGCTGGGATTAAATACCTGTGCCACCACTGCCTGGCTTTAATAATCCATAGGATTGGCATCTCTGTTCCCTCTAAATAACTGTCTTGGCTGCCTTGTTGCCTTACCCAACTTTGCTGCTATCAAACATCTGTTCCCTGTAGCGTTCTTCCATTTGAGAGTTTCTTAATTTTTCCTCTTGCATTGAATTCCTGTTTTTTGGGGGGTGGAGTGGGATGGGCACTTTTGGGGACACAATCTTATGACATTTAAACTGGTCTTGAGCTCTCTTTGTAGCCAAAAATTACCTTAAACTCCTCTCCCCTCTTCTCATATGCTAATATTACAGGCAAGCACTATCATGCTTGCTTGCTTGTTTGCTTTTTGAGACAGTGTCCCATTCTGTAGCCCTTGCTGGCCTGGAGCAATGCTCCCAAGACTAGGAAAACAAGCCAACAAGCCAGCACACTCTTAGATCGTCTTTCCCCTGGTCCCCCTCACTGCCCAATATAAGGTTTCTCTGTGTAATAGTCCAGGTTGTCCTGGAACTAGCTTTGTAGCCAAGGCTGGCCTCGAACTCACAGAGATCTGCCTGTCCCTGCCACCCGAGGACTGGGATTAAAGGTGTTGTGCCACTAACCACCCAGCTCAGATCTCTTAACTAGACATCATGTCGTTTTTGTTTTTGTTTTTGTTTTTGTTTTTTTTTTTTAGTTGTTTGTTTCCACTGTGCTTTTGCTCTGTATTCTATAGATTCCTGAGAAAGGGAATTCTTCTGTGATAGACTTAGCATTGGGCAAGGTAGAATCCATTTAAAAGTGATTTGTTTTTATGTGCATGGGTGTTTCATCTGTGTGTGTGTGTGTGTGTGTGTGTGTGTGTGTGCCTGGTGCCCAAGGAGGCCAAAAGAGGTTATCAGATCCCCTATAATTGGAGTTGTGGATGGTTATGGACCGACATGTGGGTGTTGGGAATCAAACTCAAGCCCTCTAGAAGCACAGCTGATACCACTGAGCAGTCTCCCCAAACTAAACTCACTTATTTTTAAATTTCATATTTAAAAGTGGGAACTACATGCTATTGAGCCAAAAGTTAAAAAAAAAAAAATTACAGGGGCTGTTAATAATAGGGGAAGCATGCCAGTTCCACAGGGGAGTTGATTTAGTTTGTATATGTGCATGTGTATGTTGTATGTGCAAATGCCAGGCCAGAGGGTATGGCCTGCTTTATCATTCTCTGACTTTTTCTCCTGAGATAAGAGCTTTTATTGAAACTGCAGCTAGGTAGTCAGCTAGTAAGCCCCAGGGACCCCATCTCTGTCCAATTGCCCTCTTTCCTCTAGTGTTGGGTTTACAAGCATGTTATGCTACAGTCATGTGTTGTGTTCCCCCCTCCCCCCAGTTTTTCTCCGAGTAGCCCTGGCTGTCCTGGAACATATTCTGTAGACTATGTTGTCCTCAAACTCATGTGTCCACCTACCTCTGGTGGATCTCTGGAATTATCCAGCAAATGATTAATTTTTTATTTTGTGTGTATTGGTGTTTTGCCTGTATGCTTGTCTGTGTGAGGGTGTCGGAGCCTCTGGAACTGGAGTGACAGTTGTGAGCTACCATGTGGGTGCTGGGGATTGAACTTGAGTCCTCTGGAAGAGCAGTCAGTGCTCGTAAGTGCTGAGCCTTCCCTCCAGCATCCCCATCTCCTTTTTAAAGCGTGGGTTTAGAAATTTGAATTAAGTGCTTCATGCTCATGCAGCTCCCACTGGCTGAACCATCTTCCCCAGCCGTGCAGGGCAATTTTCTGAGGGGAAGATGGAATTGTTGTATGTCATACGATTTTTATTGGTTTTTGTTGTTTTGAGACATAGTGTCAGCATGTAGCCCAGGCCTGCCCTAAGTTTTTAGTCCTCCTGCCTTTGCTGTTTTGACTGTTGGGATTCCATGCATAAGCTACCATGTCTGGATCTTTATCATATGATGCTAATGATGGCACACCAGTATCTCCATGTGTGAGCATCTGGGAAAAGTGTCAAAAGATAGAGTTTGATTTTATATATCCAGTAGTTTAGAAATGAATAGTAAGTTAGAAGAATTTGAGTACTTGAAGGCATCAAGAAGAGGTAAGAATTTCTTCCATAACTGTCCCTGCTTTCCTGCTCCCTCAAACCACTCTGAACGAGCAGTTCCTTGTGTATTTCTCCTGACTTTAACGTTGGAACTTTCAGGGTCGTAATGGGTTCGGGGTGGGATGACAAATGTGATAAAGTATTTTCTCAGTGTGCTTGGCTTACCATTATAACATACCAAAGCATGTTACCAACCAAACCTGGTACTGATGTATTAAAATCATTCCTCCTGCAGTGGGCAAACATGAATTGACTGGCCATAAAGTTGCTGTGAAGATACTCAACCGGCAGAAGATCCGAAGCCTTGACGTGGTTGGGAAGATCCGAAGGGAGATCCAGAACTTGAAGCTTTTCCGGCACCCTCACATAATTAAACTGTAAGCCCAGCTTGTCAAACCTAGTCCTTTCATCCTCTCCTGCCCTTTGTTAATCTGGCAAACCAGAGAGGCCTTCTTCCTGTGTCTGAGGCTGGAGGTTGCTTTCTGCTCCCATGTCCAGCCCCGTTCACTATCAGTTACAAAGTCTGCCCTCGTGTTCTAGTGTGACTCATATCACGCTTATTCTTTCTTCCCATTGTCTGGACAGAGGCCCTTCTGGTAACGCTCTGTGCTTCTGTTTGATGTAGAGAACCAACTGTTGATTTTCTCGTAAATGTCTCGGTAGCAGGTGCCAGGCCCTCTGTTTGGTGTCCAGTTCCATCCGAAAGAAAAAAAGAGGCAAAAACATTCTTTACCTCCAGATTTCGAATTTCTACATGCTGGGAATTAGGCTCATGAGAGACTGTGCACTAGAAAATTTTTTTTTTTTTTTCCCTACCCTGCTTGTACTTGATAGACATACCAGAATCTGAGGAATCTAGTATTGCAGGAGGGCAGTGAGGTTGGCACCATGAGGCTATAGGTAACTTTTTTCTTAGCCCTGTGTTACTGTGTAGGCTACAGTTTAAAGCTGTTTGGACTTTTCTGTCAAATTGGTCAGCTCAAACTGTTTGGTTTTTAGCTCTCATTTATTAAAGCGTTTTGCAATATCATATATGCTGATGATGTCCCTAAATGTACATTTCTTGCTTTGAACTCTGGGGCCCTATGCCCACTGCTTACTTTATATCCTCATTGGGATACCCTGTCAATGCTCATCTCTTTATCACCTCTCACCATTGCCACTTAACCCCTGATGAAAACTTAAGAGCATCTCTAACAGTCCTGTTTATTCCTCTTCACACCATTCCTCCAGCTCTCCCTTCAGAATGGATCGCTGGTCTGTCTCTCAGTGCTTTACCACCATCACATTGGTCTGGACCCCCCCCCCCCCCATGGGCTGCTGCAGGAGCCTCACTCAGCTTCCTTGCATCAGTCAGTTCACACTGTGGCCACTTATTCTTTGAATATGCAGATCATGTGACTGCTAGCATTGGAAACAACCCATAGCTTTTCATCTTCCTTTAAGTAAAAGTCAAAAGTCTCTACCTTCCTGGCTGTAACATCCTTCTCTCTGGTTTGCTTTGCCCTGCCTTACAATGAGCAGGCCAAGCAGGCTTCAACCTGGGCCCTTGCCCTTTCTCTTCCCTCTGCCTTGTTCACCTTCCTCCTGGGGAATGTAGTCTGCTTGCTCCTTCCTTCCTTCCTTCCTTCCTTCCTTCCTTCCTTCCTTCCTTCCTTCCTTCCTTCCAGTGTGCTCTGGCCTTCGTGGAGAACTCTGTACAGAAGAGAGTTTGCTTCCTTTTCTCCATCGCATGCTCTGCACTATATAATGCTTTTTTACTGTCTGCTTCCTGGCCCCTGGTTCAAGAACATCACAGGCTTTGTTCCCCACAGTCTTGTGGCTTCTAGCATAGTACCAGGCATATTATAGGTGCATAGTGACTCTTTATTGAATGGATGCATACACGTGTTTTAATATTAGTAGATAAATGTTTTCTCTCACCAGGTACCAGGTCATCAGTACACCATCTGATATTTTCATGGTGATGGAATATGTCTCAGGAGGAGAGCTATTTGATTATATCTGTAAAAATGGAAGGGTAAGCCATTCTCATTTAATCCTGTACATATTTTGTAACTCCCCTGTACCCCTTATTTGCATCAAAATGTCAGAAAGCAATATTCAGGTCTGTTTAGTAGCCAGTCCCCTTAGTCATATTTGTTTACAATTTCTACTTAGAGGTAGAAAGAAGAACCTCAGTGATGTTCTTCTTATACAGACTTATACAGACAGACATAGATATTGAGCCCCCAGTTATATATTTGTTCAAGGTCACATGACTTATTAGTGATAGAGTTCACTTAAATCCTTAAAATGTATAATCCTCAGATTCATGTTTTTGGGTATACAAACATTTTTCTTTTTTTGAGGAAGGGTCTCACTATGGCACCTTGGCTGGCCTGGAGCTCAGTCTGCAGATCAGACTAGCTTCTGATGTGTGGAGATCTCCCTGCCTCTGCTGGCACTAAAGGCATGCCCAGCCTATACAAACTTTTTAAATATGCATCTTAGACTTTATAAGTATTCCGTACAAAATATATTATTAAACACTAAAGATGTAACCCTGGCCACATTTAAGTTGCAGCCATTCTTTGGTTTCTGGACTCTGATGTACCTGGAACAGTAAGAACAGGCTTCATGGAGGGCTTAGGGGTTAGTCAAAGACTTTAGTGTAGGAAAGAACCGTGGAGACATTTAAGTTATGGATATCAATACTGACCACTGTCCCCTGCCAGTACCTGGCCTCAGGTTATGGGATTTGTACCTTCTAAAAGACACACACCTGGCACTGACAAAAGACCTTGGCCTGCTCTCAGTCTGAAGTTTTGTGCATTATTTATTCATCCACTTTACATAGTGTTTCTCTTTAATCACAGTTAAAACTCACTTATTTCACAACATGGTTAATTCCTACTTAAAGCATTCCCTTTCTCATCTTGTCCCCTAGAGGATTTCTTCCTAAAATAACTCTGCCTCCTTTATCTTTTTTTCTTCTGCTTGTCATTTCTAGCCATTTTGTGCTACATGATGGGGTTGTTGTTAGTTTTCTGTTTTGAATACTGAATTTTCAGCCATCGTGTTTCTGTATTTCAGATATCTGCCTTATTTTCTCAGGTTGCCTTTACACAGCCTGCCTGTTTGGTTTCACAGATGCGCCTCTACCTGGTTGAGAGAGACATTTTGGTTTTAGTTGTCCTTTGACTCCTGCGCTGTTCTGTTCTCGGTGCTTTCTGCTAACCCTAACCCTAACCCTATTTTTCCTCTGCTCATTTTATTTGTCTTTGTCTTTTTTTTTTTTTTCTTCATGTTTCTCCCTCAGATCTGGTGATTCTTGACTATCCACGTAAATGTCAAAATGAAGTTCCAAATGCCAAAGCTCATAGACGTGTGAGATTTATCGATTGGTGGCTTTTCCCATAGGTTGAGTTGATGGGAGACCTGTTAACTTGGGTAGGGTAACTGGTTTGCTAGCAATCTAAGTATTTTTCTTCTTCATTTGATTTGGTATTTGGTATTTGGTATTTTCTGTTTTGCTGAAAGTAGTAGTTTGAGTTGGGGTCAAGTCTGTTCTGTTAGTGTGCCAATTGTCACTTAGTGCACTTCTTCCTTACAATGCCCTGTTCCTGCCAGTGTCCTTGAGAGCAATCTGGCTTGGTCCCCCTTGAATAACCAGCCATCTTACTCTCTGCTTACTCCCCAGTGGTGGGGAGTTGAAAGTTTCTCACCAGGACCAGCTGTCATGTGTCTAGCCTAGCCTTCACTCTGCCTCAGAAAGTTCTGTTGCATCTGGTTCCTTAGCTTCTCCAGGGTTTCCTATATAGACATCCTCTAGACCTTGGTTTTGCTCCGCTCTTTGGGCTCAGCCCGTCTTCATCTGCTGTCCAAGAACTCCTCTTGATGGCTGCTGTGTCTCAGTCCTTTTGTTTTATGGGCCCTGTGCATTGCTGATAGCATCCTAGTGCTGTTACCACACACAAGACTCTGTGTGTTATCATCAGCTGAAATGTACCTGGACTCTGCACATCTTCCTTTAGCCTCTGCAATTCTTTGTACTGTATTTCTGTAAGTAGAATGTTTTTCACTTTGTAGCCTTTCTATTTATTTTACTACTTATATTATTTGTTAGCTTATTTTTCTCTTCTTTCATACATTTTTTTATATAAAATCTACTGGAACAAATAAAGGCATTACATTGCAGAAACATTATTTTTTTTTCTTTTCTTTTCTTTTCTTTTTTTTTTTTTTGAGGAAGGGTGTCCTAAACTTCAATAGCTATTTTAATTTTGCATCCCAGGAAATGGTTTATCTTTGTCCTCACATTATCCATCCATTGAAGGTGTGAAGGTATAGAGTTCTGGATTTAGAATGCTCACTCATGATCTTCCAGAAGATTGCATGTGAGAGTTCTTACCTAGGGGATCCGCAGCTTATTTATTAAATACACTGTCCTGGAGCAGGTGTAAATCCATAGTGGTTATTACTTATTGAGCAAACATCAAAAATACGGGGAAGATTTTTGAAGATTATTAAAAGATTATATTTAAACATTTTAATTGTAGTGTAAGGTTTTTTTTTTTTAAACACGCAAAAGGAAAAAGTGTTAAGGGTTTTGTTTTGTTTAGATAAAAACATCTTGGGCCCAAAGAGGTGGCTCAGCAGTCATAAGGGTGTGCTGTTCTTTCAGAGGTCTGGAGTTTGGTTCTTAACACCCATATAGGTAGCTCATGACTGTCTCTTAACTCTAGGTCTAGAGGGTCCAGCATCCTTAGAATCTGGCCTCTGTAGGCACCCATATACAGGTACACACACACACACACAGACACACACACACGCACGCACGCACGCATACACACCCACAAAACTTAAAGAAAATCTTGCATTTCAGAACACAGTCTGTGGTTGGTTTGTAATTCATTTACAGTGCTTAACTGTTTCTTCATCACAGTCTAATGTAGTACCCCCATCCCAACAGCACTTTCTGTATTCTTTTCCTTCCCTTTCTTATCAACTGAATTTGCTCTTGGACAGTTTCAGCCATGTGTATGTGCATTATGTTTATTCCCACTCCTGTGCTCGCTTCTCTCTCTGCCCCAGCCCTCTCCCCTCCTTCCTATAGGCCTCTTTCTTGCTTGCATGATGTTTTGTTTTGTTTGGTGATCCACTGAGTCTGACTAGGACCATCTGTTTGACCATGGGTTTGTACCTGTCCATAGGAGCGTGTTCTGTTTTGTGTTACTCTGATCTTTTTCTGTTCACTGTTACACCGATGTGTTTTGTTTTATTTTTTGTTTGTTTTTTTTAAACTGTCATATTTTTGTGAACTAGAATAGGGCCTTCCTTTCACTTATTTCTGTATTCTGAATGTCTAACCTGCATAGCATATTGAATGTGTTCAATAAATATTTATAAAATAATGAAGGATTAAAACATCACTAACTTAGAGCAAACAGCATGCATAGTTTCAGGTAGAAGTTGAAACTACTAGACCTAGTCCATTAACTACAGAAGACCACAGGTTTTTTTAGTGCAGTCTGTGCAGGTGATAGGATCAGAAAGTTGATCTGCTGATCTGGGTCCCTGTAACTTCCTGGCATTTCAGTTTAGTGTTTGCATGCATTACTTCCTCATTTCAAAAGTACCTCATGGGTGACCTTCACTTGGAAGGTTTCATGTTTCAGCAGTTTACTTAATATATTCCACAGCTTAAGATAATGTTCTGCTTTCCCTAGTTGGATGAAAAGGAAAGTCGACGATTGTTCCAGCAGATCCTTTCTGGTGTGGATTATTGTCACAGGCACATGGTGGTCCACAGGGACCTGAAACCCGAAAACGTTCTGCTTGATGCACACATGAATGCAAAGATAGCTGATTTCGGTAAGGACAATTTGAACTGTTCAGGGAGTGTAAGTAGCCATCTTCAGCAGTGTCTGTGGGGTATGCTGAGAATCCCATCTTGTAAATGAGCATGAGAGTAAGTTCTTCCCTTCTTCAAAACTGAGTATAAAGAGTATGTACACATACACAGACTCATGTACACATGGCAAAGGACATATCTGGGGGTTATTTCTGTTCTTCCACCCTGGGGGGGGGGTCTTACAGACTGAACTTAGGCTGTCAGCTTTGGTGGTAAGCACCTTTGTCTGCTGAGCCATCTTGCCAGATGTAAAATTCAGTTTTGGGATATAGTAAATATTTCAAGTTGTCAACATTAGAGATTTGAAACGAGGTGACTATTATTGTGAAGAAGGTAGCAAATTTATGTCTACTATATTTTCTTTTGGTCAAGTGTGGAGAAGATGGAAAGTAAGTGGAGTAGAATTATTGAAACAAATCGAAATCTAGAAAGATGAACTATATAGGGAAACGTTTAAATATTTAAATGCTACAAAGTTGAATTTCCGATGTGGTCTCACATGCCTCTAATCCTGTATTCCAGAGATTATAAGTGGGCTCCATAGTAAGGCCCTCTTTCATAAAAGAGAATAAAATAAGGAGATTATAGGTTCAGGTGACCATTCTGGGCTTGGGTTTTGTTTTTATAGAACAGAGCAGGACTGGTAGAAATCTATTTATCTGAGATTATTTTGCCTATCAATATCTATACTAAAAGTTAAACATTTCACATTTATTCTAGTAAACAAAACCATCAGTAATTTAATACACATTGCTCTAGTTACTGAAATACATTGTATATTTTTGTCTAAGGGCAGACTGTTTGGGAGGTAAAGTCTGTGATCACTTTGAAGCAAAGAAAAAAAATGGTGGCAGATCTTGTTAATCCAAATTTAGCTTTGTTGTTTAATAGACTTTCCTTTTCATTCATAGGGAACCTTGAGTGGCTATTGTTTGTCTTTTTAGGTCTTTCAAACATGATGTCAGATGGTGAATTTTTAAGAACAAGCTGTGGCTCACCCAATTATGCTGCACCAGAAGTAATTTCAGGAAGGTAGTGTTTGATATTATGCTACTTTTGATGTATTTGTAGTTACTTATTTCTTTTTAGATTTTGTTAGTCTGTATTGTCATATTTAATACTAGTGAAGGAAGGGAGAAGTATTTTCTCACCTGTAAATTTCGCATTTTAAGAATAATACAGAAGGAGCGGGAGAGGTGGCTCTGTGGTTAAGAGCACTTGCTGCTCTTCTAGAGGACTGGAGTTTGGGTCTTAGCACCCACATTTTGGGTGGCCCACAACTGCCTGTAACTTACCCCCAGGAGACCCAACACACTTTTGGTTTCAGCAAGTAGTTGCATGCATGTGTGTATACACCATACAAAACACACACATTAATTTTATAAAAAACACAAGTGAATAAATTAGCAAATCCAATTATAGAGGAAAATGTTGGTTTGAAGTCATGTTAAAATAGTTAGAATGAAGTACTTTAACTTTTTCCTGTGGGGGAAGAATTTAAAGCAAGTCAGTTGTAAAGGTAGATAGGTAAGTTACTGAAACGTGACTATCAAACTACTTACTTGTGAGAAATGACTAACTTGACAAAAAATAAAAAATGAGCATTACCAAGAGGTTCATGCTTGTAATTTCAGAGCTTGAGAGGTTGAGATCATTCGTTGATACCTAAGACATTATCTTGAAAAACAAAACAAAACAAACAAAATACCCAGACAGAAAACAAAATGGAGTTACAAGTATAATGTAATGTATAGTTTCATAATTATTCAAAAAGATATCATCTGTGTAGTAGCTTCATGTTTTACAAGGAAGACAGTATCTTAGGAAATTGAATTAAAGAAGTGGTTCTCCAGAATCAGGCGTCAGACCAGCTGGATGTAGTGTATACTTACATCCTGAGCATTGTGCATATTTTGAGGTGAGACTATATACGTAGACCCTGTATCAGGAAAAATCCAGGTGGGGAAAGGGAGAGAGGGAGGGAGTCAGATTCATTTGCATTCAGTCTTGTTCTGGATCTGCTAGACACTGCAGTATAAGAATGCTGAATTGGGCTGGGCATTGGTGTCACATGCCTTTAATCCCAGCACTCAGGAGGCAGGGGCAGGTAGATTTCTGTGAGTTTGAGGCCAGCCTGGTCTACAGAGCAAGTTCCAAGACAGCCAAAAAAAAAAGCCAGAACTACTCAGAGAAACTCTGTCTCGAAAAACCAACCAAACAAAAAAATTGATTTATGTTTTCATTCTTAATTCCTTTGGTTTGAACAAATGCAGGATTTAGATACAACTGTGGTTATAATTATATAAAAAGTGATGCATTATGGTCAAACATACATAAAATAGGCTATTAATGAACTCTCTTTGTTCAGTTTTCATGGTCTGTCTTTGAAGTCTGGATGAACAGGAACACTTACTTTCAAATAAGTTTTTAATTGATATTTGTAATAATTTATTTTGTCATTTTAAAGATTTGTTTTTGCCCTGAAGCCAGACTCCGAATGCATGATTCAACTTTTTTTTTTTTGCAGTGAGTTAAGATACTTGTCTCCAGCCCCCTGAATGTGGCTGTCAGCTGGGGGGCTTGGGCAGTCTATAGCATTGCTGGCAGTCCCCAAATGATAGGACAGACTTTGATGATTCCCCATGGTGGGGCCTCACCCTCTCTGAGGTGTGGATAGGGGTTTGGGATGGGGAAATGGTGGGGGGAGTCAGAGGGCAGGAGGGAGAGGGAACTGGAATTGGTGTGTAAAGTAAGATTTTAATTTAAATACAAAAAAGGGGAGGATACTTGTCACTAGAGTGCTTCAAGTAGAAGTTTAAAGTACTCTGTGAATTCCACTTGCCTTGCTCTACAGTCTCAAGCTCTTTGAACTTTGATGTGATGGTTTTAGGAGAAATGGCTTCAGAGTCTGGCACTATAGAATTGAGTCTTGGGCCAGTGAGATAGCTCAGCTGGGAAAGCTCTTCCTGTCAAGTATGATGACCTGGGTTTGATTCCTGAAACTTATGTAAAGGTCAAAGGAGAGAAGTGACTCCACAAGCTGTCCATTCACCTCCACATTCACTATGCATGTGCATAGATATACACATGGCACACCAAGACATGTATGCATACACACACACACACATACACATGAAATAAAATTTATTTTAAAGAAGTATTTTACTTCTGTGGCTCAAATTCAACATTGGTCATGATGCTTCAAGGTTGGACCTTATTGGTAGGACCCCTTGAGTATCATAGTAAGGTAGTGAAACAATTTTATCCATGGCTCATAATTGACGAAACATCTTAACTTTTCAAAGGTAATACTGGTAAGATAAACACCATAGTCTGACCACTGATTTCTTCAAAAATTATTGTCTTGTATTCTTCATAAAATATTTGTATTTGAAGACTGTTGAGTAACACGTTTTGCTGTTGTGATTAATGCAGCTGCTTTCCCTATTCAGATTGTATGCAGGCCCCGAGGTGGATATCTGGAGCAGTGGGGTTATTCTCTATGCCTTGCTATGTGGGACTCTCCCCTTTGATGATGACCATGTGCCAACTCTTTTTAAGAAGATATGTGATGGGATTTTCTATACCCCTCAGTATTTAAATCCCTCTGTAATCAGCCTTTTGAAGCATATGCTGCAGGTAGATCCCATGAAGAGGGCCGCAATAAAAGATATCAGGTAATTTTAAATCAGTATGCTTTTCTACCTTTTTGAGTCTCAAAATTTTCATGAGAAAAATTTCATTTTATTAATGACTAATGACATGTTTTTTCTCTAGCAATACACTTTTGAGTCATAGGAAATTTGAGTTTTATAGGTAATGTTGCATTGTGTGGTTGAGCCTCATAGTTTACATAAGGTGAAACTGACGGTGGCAGATATTCTCAAGTTGAGGTGAGCAATTTCTCATGAACACTCGGAGTACTTAGTGGAGACTTTGTTCTGCCATCAGTATTCTCATCCCCCTCCCTTTATTTTTGTTTTCTTTAATTCTGTGATATTCTGATGGCTAGACTGTACCTTTTTGTGGTCCTGGAGGAAAGAACAAAGAAAGAAAAATTGTATGCATATAGGAGTTAATAAATAAGAAAGCATTAGGGTAACCAGGGAGAGAATTATATATGAATTTAAGCTTTATTCTCTTCCACTTACTCCTTATGCTAAAAGTCCTGATATACACCTTTAATCTCAGCACTCGGGAGGTGAAGGCAGGTGGAACTCTGTGAGTTCCAGGCCAGCCTGGTCCACAGAGTTTGTTCAGGACATCCAGGGCTATATGGGGAGAGCCTGCCTGCTGAAAAGGAGACCTCAAGTGGCAGGGCATTGCTTTAACCTCCAGATGGGAAGGGAAACTCATCCTATGAAATTGATGTTGTAAAATATCTAAGTGAGAAGTAGATTTGCATATGTTTTAGGTATTTTTTTCATAATTAAGATCTGATAGGAAGTGCCATGCATGGTGGTGCACAGCCATAATTCCAGTACTTGGGAAGCTGAAGGAGTTTGATTCCAGCCTGGTCTACACTTAAGACCAGTCTCCAGTAGGAAACAAGCAAACGAATACCCTTAAAACTACAAAAACCCCCAAACAAACAAAAAAGCCCAGGCAAATAAAAGAATACTTTTATGCCTATTACTTAGACAATAACCATTATTCTTTTGGGTATTTTCCTCTGTTTTGGTGTTGTTTTCATTTTCATTTTTGTTTTTTAAGTTTTAGCATAGTTCTTGATATTGTTATGTGCAATTAAGTTATATAATAGGGAATTATTCGGAGAGTGGCTTTTTGAGTCATACAGAACTGGGTCATGAGGATAATTTACATGTATGAATTATTTAGCATAAAACTAAGTATACAGTAAGAACTCAGGATGTTGCATACTGTTTTTGTTACTCAGTTCTTTTCATATAACATGAAATAGTATAAACAAGAGTATAACAGTGAAGCTACACAACACAATTTCTTTCTGAGCTGGAAAAAACTTTACTTCGCCATTGTCATTTCAGTGGACATACCTTTTTATTTGGCTGCATCAGTCCTTAAAAATTAGTGCCAGGACCAGGCAGTGGTGGCACACGCCTTTAATCTCAGCACTTGGTAGGCAGAGGCAGGTGGATGTCTGAGTTTGAGGCCAGCCTGGTCTGTAGAATGGGTTTCAGGACAGCCAGGGTCACACAAAGAAATCCTGTCTCAATAACCACCGCCCCCTCCCCCAAAAAAATTAGCAGGTTGGAACATTTTTCTTAACAGATTCAGTGAAGTATGAGCTAGAAGAGGAAAACAGTTTAAAAAAAAAAAAAATGGAAGTGATATACCATGGGTAGAAATGTAAAGCAATAACTCTTGAAAGTTATTGTTCTTATTCTTGGTTTTACTCAAAATCCTTCCCCACATACTGCTGTTTTCTCTTAGGGAACATGAATGGTTTAAACAGGACCTTCCAAAATATCTCTTTCCTGAGGATCCATCATACAGTTCAACTATGATTGATGATGAAGCCTTAAAAGAAGTGTGTGAGAAGTTTGAATGCTCGGAGGAGGAGGTTCTCAGCTGCCTGTACAATAGAAACCACCAGGACCCATTGGCAGTTGCCTACCATCTCATAATTGACAATAGGAGGATAATGAACGAAGCCAAAGATTTCTACTTGGCAACAAGCCCACCTGATTCTTTCCTTGACGACCACCATTTAACTCGGCCACATCCTGAAAGAGTACCATTCTTGGTTGCTGAAACACCAAGGGCACGGCATACCCTTGATGAATTAAACCCACAGAAATCCAAACACCAAGGTGTACGGAAAGCAAAGTGGCATTTGGGAATTAGAAGTCAAAGTCGACCAAATGATATCATGGCAGAAGTTTGTAGAGCAATCAAGCAATTAGATTATGAATGGAAGGTAAGAAGGCAAGCATTCTACCTAACAAATTTGGTGAACCTGTAGACAAAAGTCTTTTATAGAAGAATTGATTTGATGTGCCTTTGTTTTTTTTTTGTCCATATCAAATGCTAGGTTGTAAACCCCTATTATTTGCGTGTACGAAGGAAGAATCCTGTGACAAGCACATTTTCCAAAATGAGTCTACAGCTATACCAAGTGGATAGTCGGACTTACTTATTGGATTTCCGTAGTATTGATGGTATGTACACACAAACCCACAGAGGTGATAGGTTAGACCTGGTTAACTAATTTGTTGGTTTATAGTTTTCTTTTTTTCTTTTGTTTTGAATTAAAACTAAGCATGAAAAGTATGTGTCAATATGACATTTCATTTTCTTTATCCTCCCTCCATCCCTCCCTTTCTCCCTCCTTCCCTCCATCCACATGTATGTTTTGGTGCACTCACTTGTGTGTACATGGGGTGAAGGCAGCAAAGGTCAATGTCAGCTGCTTGCTTCTATCACTCTCCATCTTACTTTTGAGACAGGGCCTCTTTTCCAAACAGGAGGTTACACTTTAGGCTGGGGTTAGTGGCTGGCAAGCCCCAGGGACCCTCTTATTTCCAGCCTCCAGTATTGGGTTATGTGAAATTGAGGTCCTTTTAGAGTGCAGCAGGCTCTTTATCCATCAAGCCATCTCCCTAGCCTGCAGTATGACACTGTCATACAGATACTTTGTTTGTGTCATCATCCTCCACTGCCCTCTCCATCTTCAACCTTTAACCTTCAACCTTGTAATAGAGAACGTTACTTCTGTGCTCTACGACACTGACAACTGTAAGTCCTCTTGTTCCATGTAGTTCATTGTCCTTGTACAGGCCATCACCTCGGGGCTAGGACTTTAGTTCAGTATTGAAGTTCTTGCCTTGCATCCACAAAACACCGGCGTCAGTCACCACTCCCATTTCTCCCAAAGTAGAAAAATAATTATTTCCCTGTAAAATCTTTAAAAATGTGCAGTTTAATTCTTTCTGGTTTTTCAAGACAGGGTTTATCTGTGGCTTTGGAGCCTGTCCTGGAACTAGCTCTTATAGACCTGGCTGGTCTCCAACTAACAGAGATCCGCTTGCCTCTGTCTCCCGAGTGCTGGGACTAAAGGCGTGTGCCACCACTGCCCGGCTACAGTTTAATTCTAAAGTGACACTTTTCTCTCATATTTCTGTTGCTTTGTAAGATTCATTCTGGCAACATATTTTTTTTTTTTTTTTTTTTTTTTTTTTATTAAAAAGTAAAGGTTGTTGTCACTGTAGTTTTACTTACTATTAAGCACTTTAAAAATTAAATACAAGTTTATGGCTGTTCTTCCAAGTCAGTTATACCAGTATCTTTGGGAGGATATTTAGGATTATTAATTAAAGACTCAAAGGTGGCACCTAAAGATTATAAGAAAGACAAAGGCTTGAGATGTGATATACACTGATATACAGTGATTTACACTGGCCAACCTGATGGTCTGGTTACTTATTTATTTTTGAGAAAGGCTCTTCTATGTAGGCTGGCCTGGCTTTGGAGGGCCATCCTTTGTTTCATCTCTGAGTGCTGGGTTACAGGTGTGCGCCATGCCTAGATGTCTGGATAGCATGTGCCTGCCAGCTAACACATACCAGTACGGTTTGAGATTGGGAATGGGCTTTATTTTTCTCTTGGTATTTAGATCATTTTGGAGTCTTAGTTATATCAACTCTTGGACTTGGCCAACTGAATGAATGCCTACTATTTCTATATTTCTGTTCTAGTACTATTTCTACTTATATTTTATTCCCAACTAGTTTATCTTTGATTTCATTTTTAGTGTTACTTTTGTGGTACTAGAGGTAAAACCAGATCTTTTCAATGAGCTCTAGCCTCAACCCTCCTTTTACTTTTTATTTTGAAGGAAGGTCTCACAAGTTACCCAGGTTGTCCTTGAACTCTCTAGCTCAGGTAGGCCTTGAACTTATGATCCTCCTGTTTTAGCTTCCCGAGTAGCTGGGATTGAAGGCCTGTACCACAGCTTTTCTGATTTTGCTTATTAGAGATGTTGCTCCGTTATGCTTGAGGATGAGAAACTACAGAGTAAAAAGCACTGAACTAAAGTTGGGCTGGCAGAGTGCCCAAATGGCCGAACCTTCCTGTTCATTTGTTTCCTTGAACAAATTGCTTGACTTCTCTGGCTTTGTTTTCTGTCAGTAAAATGGTTCTTGGCTGAGATGGTTTCCAAGATATCTTCCATATTTCAAGTGATGGATTGTATGCTTTTAATAGAACAGAATTTTACTGCTAGGGGATTTTTATTTAAAACCCAGGTTATTAGTTTCCTGACTCTTAGTCAGTGTAGAAGTCAAGAGTAGTAGATTGTGTACTCTGTGTGGACTGGTCATCATAGGCATTCTCCATGCTGTGTGCAGAAACTGAGAGTGAGTGGCTTAATTCAAGCACAGTGCCCCCATTCAAGAATGTATTTAAATCACATGTGCTTTGGGGGAGCTGAGCAGTAGTCTCACTTAAAGAATCTGATCCATACTGTTAGACCACTTGAGGGACAAATAATAACATGTGGGAATTCTTTTCACCCAGATGAAATTACAGAAGCCAAATCAGGGACGGCTACACCACAGAGATCGGGATCCATCAGCAACTATCGATCTTGCCAAAGGAGTGACTCTGATGCTGAGGCTCAAGGAAAACCCTCGGAAGTTTCTCTTACCTCATCTGTGACCTCACTCGACTCTTCTCCGGTTGACTTAGCTCCAAGACCAGGAAGTCACACAATAGAATTTTTTGAAATGTGTGCAAATCTAATTAAAATTCTTGCACAGTAAACCTAAAACTTTGCTTATTTCTTTGATGCAATAAGCATGCATAATAAATTATAGCCAAACACTTCCACTTATCAAGTTTTACATATATATGCACATATATGTATGTATATATGTTATATACATACATATATAAAATTTATAACTAAGGATTGGCCTTTTGGAATGCAGTTTGCACAGGAATTGGAAAACGATAAAAGCCTAATGTGTGGAAATGAATTGGGCTATTCTGTTGTCCCTTATTCAGTAGATACATATAGCATTACATATACAGAATGGATTGTAGGTCTCAGGCTCATTTGATTTTTGGCCATTTTAATTTGATGTAACAGGGCTTTGTAGGCCATACATTACCATAAAAGCCTTCAGATATGTTGATGTGTTTTATATTTGCTTCATGAATTAATTATTTGCCTAGAATTCCCTACAGACCTTCTTAAGTAATGCTGTTTCCTGGGCTCCTTAGCTTCTTAAATAGCTACTATTTCCAGTTCTGGTAACATTGTGAATGATTTCCACATCATTAAAATGCTATTTTGTGTGGTAAGTCATACCAGATACAGAGTCAATTTAAATTTTTTCTTTAGCTTGTAAGCCCCCAAATCCCCAGAATTTATATATTCAGAAACTCTGAGCCCTAAGTTTACTTCTACAGTTTCCCCTTTGTTTTGTATATGAAGTGCTGCTTTGGATCCAAAAGTAGAGTTGCTCATACTGTACTGAATCATGTTTTTTGTCACTGTCACAGATTCTTCTGGCTATTATGCCAGCCAGTGTTGAATGTCATTTGATTGTGTATTTTTAACATTGATTCAGTGCATAGAGATGATATCTTTCATAAGCTTTGAATGCTTGGATTGGATTTTTAACCCCTGATTTTATTTATTCTGGACATTTTTTAAAAAAGAAAAATTGAAAGAATATAGTGATTGCATGCATGTATGTCTACTACTTAGTTCCAACAACTACTATGTGGCTGCGTTTGCTCTCTAGATCCACAAATGTACAAAAACTTAGATATGCATATATATTTGAATGTATGTATGCTTTTGTTCTGAACCACTGAGATGTTAAGAAACACATATCCAACTCTAAATACTTAAGGCATCTCCTAAAAATAATGATATTGTCCTTTAAGAAACTCTTTTTGCACTATAAAATCAGTAATTTCCAGAGAATGCATGGCTTTCCATATTTATCTTTTAACTGTCCAGAATCCCATTTACATTTACAGTCTCATTTCAGTTGTATCTCTTTAATCAGGTTAATAATGATATTTTGAAAAGGTCATTTATTTCAGGTGGTTAAAGAAGTAGCATCTTTCTTAGATCTCTGATTTCTATGGCCCTCCCCTTTTAGTGACAGAAGAGCATTAGAGTTGTAAATGAAGTTCTAAAGTCATGGAAGACAAAGCTTGGTATTGTATGAGCTAATAATTAATTTCTTATTCTCCATACTTGGCTTCTATAGGAAATTGGGTTCAAGGCTCTAGCTCAGTGGTGGTGCTTGTCTAGGATGCACCTAGCTTGTGGGTTTGATCCCAGCAATGCAAAATTATGTTTTCTTTAAACCTTAACCATTTTCCCTTTGCAGAAGAGACACTTTTTTTTCACTGTATTTTATTTTAAAAAATTCACTCCCCCCCCCCAATCTGTTGAGCACTTATGTAATCAGAAGGGAATGAATTTGGAGGTCATGCTAGCTTGCCTAAAAGATTACTCTATAGTTTATGCACTGAATTCCAAACAAAAATTATGATTCTTTTGTTCAGGGCTTGTTCTATTCAACTCCAATTTGGATGCTGTATAAAGTAATGGATCCTCCATTTAAATGAGTTCTGAACTGTATTTATACTCTGTGTGTGTGTGTGTCCGTGTGTGTGTCCATGTGTGTCCTCTATTTGGGGTTTACTGAGGTTACTTATGCTGTCCAAATGCAGCATTGTGTTCCCGATGTGAAGAATGGAAGAGTGCATTTTTAAAGTTCAGATTTGTAAATAGAACTAAGTAATATCTCTATAAACTGATGGGGGGAAGGGGCACAAAAGGAGGAACCAATTAAATAGGACCTTCTAAAAATTGTTAATTTTGTAAACTTTGCTTCTTTTATAAGTTATTCTGTGATTCCTTTTAGTTACCAAGTTTTATTTTGAAGATATTTAAATATTGTACTTGTATAAATAGTATGATAAATGCAGATTATTGCAGTCAATTTTTTAAAGCTAGGATATCTGAAATGACAACTTTCAGTTAAGTATGTCAAGCTTGCAACAGAATTTGCACAAATTCTGAATGTAGTTTGCAAATTCTTATATTGAGGATGTAAGGGGAGTCAGTGCGAATGATTTTTAATCTTTTTTTATTATCTTTTCAGCAGTTTATATTTTTTGTGATTTTATGCAACCATATTTTTACTTTGTCTTGATAACAGAAAGCTGTATAAGTTTTTTTTTTTTTTGCCAGAAAAGTACTGTATACATAGTTTTAAATATAACAGATTTTGCTGATATGTAAAAATTTTGCCATTAAAGTTGATTTCTCATGAAAGGAACTTTTCTACCAAGTTGGGACACGTGGGAGCTTAATATATCTAATTTAAAAATAATTTCACTGAAATAAACACCATTGCTTTTACTTTGATATTTTTTCTTAAGATGCTTTTGTAGTGTTTTGGAGTTTTAGATAATTTTATATAAATTCTTTCCCTTCCTTGCACCATCCTTTGGATCTTTGATGCCATTCACAAATGTGCTAATGTGGCTGGGTGTGTGTAAGATCTATCTGTGTTCCAAGTGGCATCTTGGGAATGAAAGACAAGCATGTCTAAACCTTTCTTTCTTCTTAACCTCTACCTGCTCATTGTGGGCCCTGACAAGATGAATGTGATTCCATACACAACCTGTGAAGTTGGTTGTAGGGAGGAGTCAATCTTTGTGGGTTATGTATGATTGCCAGAGTACTTTGATTTAGAAATCTGGCATAATAAAGAAAAATATTCATTTTTCATCTGTTATGTCTTTATTGATTAATCTAGGTTCGGGAGTTGGCAGTTCACTTATTCATGGCTGAGTATCTGAGCTCTTTCAAGTACTGAAATATAAAATAGTGCTTGATTATATTATAGTACTCCAAACACCGATGTTTGTCTCTCATAAATTTGTTTAGATTTTATTTAGAAATCAACCATCTAAACAAAATATTAAGATGCAAACAGGAAAGTTGAAGCAGATGTCACATACTAGTCACAAACAGAATTCCATCATTGCTCAAATATGGTTACCGTTAAATCTAAAACCCATAGTGTTCTTGGGGCTTTTGTTAGATTGCTGGCAAAGCCAAAGTTAAAGAATGTTAGGAACAACATGTAAAGTACTTTCGGAGAACTCATCTTTTCCTGAAAATTTGCATAAGAAACTCATGTGAAACAACATCTACTAAACTGTCTTATTTATTATGCATGAATAAACTTCTGGTGGCTGTAAATGCCAATAAATAGTACCAAATATTGAGAGGGTGTTTAGTGAGTTAGAAGAAATTGCCAAGTCTTTACTGGAGTAGAGGGCATCAAAGTTAAGACACCCTGAGAGACTTAGAAAAGGAACAGAGCCTCAAACACCATTCACTCATGGCCACTGAACCTTTCGTGACAAAGGTGACCAAGTTCCAAGATACAAATCCTGCTCCATCCATCTTGTTAGGGATATATGGAGATACACACATGTGCACTACAGTACAAAAAAAAAAAAAAAAAAAAAAAAAAAAAAAAAACCTAAGTATGGGCTCAGTGGATAGTCTGTGTTTGAGGGTTAGAGTGAATGTGACCATGTGACCCTTTATCCAGGAGGGACACTGCCTCCACCATTGTGTCTATTACAATTAATGAGAGTGAAGACTCAGACCAATTCTGACACATCATGGGAAGAGCATCAAGGGTGTTAATACCAGGAGTAGGAATCATTGACGTCCATCTTAGAAGCTGCCTACCACAGTCATGCACTGGTTATTCTGAAAATACTGGCTTACTTTACAACTCTTGAGAATGTTAATGAATGTAATCAAATTCTAAATAAAAATTGCATTTGAAATCATTTATCTCCAAGTCTAGACATACTGGGAAGTTATATAAGGAGTACACTTTTATCAATGGTACAAACATTGTCAACTGTTTTTCTTGAAACAGTTTCTTTTGTAAGGAAAATTGTGTGCGTGTGTATGTGTGGTTTGTATGGCACACCACAAATATGAAGGCCAGATGACAACTCTCATTCCACTCAATGGGTTCTAGAGATGGAATTCATGTCATCAGGGTCAGCAGCAATCATCCTTACCTGCTGAGCCATCTCATAATCTCACAGGCTCCTTGCTTTGCTCATTTTCCGAAAAGATCAAATATCCAAGTATGAATAATCAGCTTGTCAGTGGTCAAAAAAAAAAAAAAGAAGAAAAGTGTATTATTTCACAAAAAAGTGGAATTTCAATTTATAGTAGTCTTGAAGAATTGATTTTATTTTTATTGATGTGTATGTGTAGGCACATGCAAAGGCCAGAACACGATGTTGGGATCCCCTAGGGCAGTAGTTGCAGGGAGGCTGTGAGTTGCCAGATGTTGGTGTTAGGAACTGAACTTGGGTTCTCTGCAAGAGCAGGAGCCAGTGTTCTTCACTGCTGAACTATCTTGTCCAGCTCATATAAGGTAGTCTTAAAACACTTTTGAGAGACATCACACTTCAGTAGCAGCAAAGTACTTGGTACAGTAGAAAAACAAATGCCATCATTCAGAAATATCCTTGATGAAGACGTGATAGTTGGTTTATTAAAGTGAGCATGAAAGTTGGAGTCTTGTCAGGTAACACAGGCCTCATAGCAAAAGAAAACAACACTACAGAGTTAGACTGTAGGGTGTGACAGGACTACACCACTACCATTACAGTTGGGCATCATTACCTTAACCCAGCATTTCTATCACCTTGACACTTTAACATAAGCCTCAATGTTACCTGTTGTGAAAAATGGCAAAATGTAAGAGTTGGTGACAGAAGGGTCTCTAACCCATATAGGCTGAGAAACACTAGTTTGCATTGGTGGTTTTTCCTTTTGTTTTTGAGACATTATTTTAAGAGTTTTGTCTGCATATTAGCATGAAGGCCAGAAGAGGGGGACAGATCCCTGTAACTGGAATTACAGATAGGTTTGAGCCTCTATGTTGAGTGTTGGGAAATGAACCTTCAGCAAGAGCAGCAAGTCTCTCCAGCCTTGCATCAGTGGTTTCTGGTATCAGTCTTGTGTAAGATTTTTCTTCGGGGTATATTTGATATTTTGGAGAGAAACAATTTGGTGGTCCTGTGGTTGGGGAGTGTTACTCAATGGCGTCTCTGCATCCTACAATGTTTCTCCCAACAAATAACTGACCAGTAAGAAATAAGGTTGAAAAAGGGTGATCTCCAAAAATGATTCTTCCTTTGCATAGCATAGCTACGCGGATAAAAACGTAATTTCAATTTTCTCAATATATAGCCGTGTTAACATTTGCCTGCTAATTGTAGAAATGGCCCAGTGCTACTTTCAGGCTGTGTTGTAGATTCTCACGGGAAGCCTGCATTTCAGCCTTGGCCCTCCTGATCAGCTAAGGTCATAGTTCCCTATTACTGGGATAAAACACCACGACCAAAATCTACTTGGGGAGGAAATGATTTATTTCAGTTTATAGTTCCAAATCATAGAAGGAAGACTGAAGGAAGTCGGGGCAGGAACTTGAGGTAGGAAGGAACTGATGCGGAGCCCGTGGAGGAAGGCTAGCTAACTGGTTTGCTCCGTTTACCTCCTAATACTGTCCAGAATCCACCTGCCCAGGGATGGTACCACTTGTAATGGGTTGGGCCCTCCCACATCAGTCATTATTCAAGACAATACCCTATGGATTTACCTAGAGGCCATTCTTATGGAGGCATTTTCTCAAGTGAGATTCCCTCTTTCAGCTATGTTTAGCTTTGTGTCAAGTTGAAAAAAAAATAAATCACAGGTTCCCTTGAACTTATTTTCGGCTCAGTTCCCCCCCCCCTTTTTTTTTCTTTCTTACTGTCCTCACCGGCTAGTCCTGGCTAGGCTAGGCTGTAATCTCCTTACCCGATGACTGTGTATATTGCAAAGCACAGCTGCCTGGATTTGAGCCTCATATCCCGAGTCCGCCGCTCCCAGCTGCTGCTAGAGGGCATTTTTTTTTTTTTGGGGGGGGGGAGTGGCGGGGCTGATTGCCCTACTACAAATCCCATAGTACCTTGGGCGCCGCAGTGACTTCTGGGACCAGTGGTTTCGTAGAAGGGTCTGGCGGGTAAGAAAACCCTCTTTTTCTTTTTTTTTAATCTATCCACTTTTCTGGACTGTTGGAGTTTCCCTGGATGACTTAATGCATTTTTAATAGAAAATAAAAATCACAGACCATCAAGGCCGGGTAGAAGCCCGACGGGATCATTTCCGCTTCCGGTGACAAAGGGCAAGAGGCATGTAAACACGGGACTACGGAGTGGCTTTCAGGTAACTGGCTGCGGGTGGGCGGTAGAAGCCTGAGGAACGGGAAGCAAGGCGAGAGGGTTCTGCGTGTGGGATTTGGGGGCGAGGGCCGGCCGGTGAGGTCCACGGGGCCCGCGGGTGGCGGGGCTCGGGGTGCGGGCCCGGCGGCCCGAGGAGCTGCGGCCGTCGGCTCGTGTTTATTGTCCGCCTAGGAAGGGGAGATGGATTCTCCTTGCTTAGCTTTTTTAGATCAGTTGTGTCTCTTAGTTCTTCACCTGCGAACACGTCTCTCCTGCTCAGAGAGATGCTGTCGTGATTCTTTACGTCCAGCCGGTGTTTTTCCACTCTGGGCGCCGCATCCTCTCACGTAGTCAGTACTAGAAGACGTTTAGTCTGTCGCAAGCACCTGGCAGTTTGTGGTTGGGTCAAGTGTCATAGCGATTGCTGTGGGGATCTTTGTACATCAGTGTATCCGTCCAAGTCCAGATCTACCAAAACCCCTTCTGTAAGGGGTTTTAGTGATAAGTTAATCAAAAACACAACCTTAGAGATACAAGAAGCTCATGTTTATGATAAAAACAGTTTAGTTGAGATAGATGTAACTGGCATGTTATACAATTACTTCATATAGATTGCATGACTCAGTAGCTCATTGGTACACACACACACACACACACACACACACACACGTCTCTCATTCTTTTCATACTCATCCTGCCCCCAATTTCTACTAACCGAGTCGACCAATAATTTAAAGTGAAATTGCCTTCAGTAAACACACCGGGTTCCTTTTTATATTAATACATCTATTAGACTACCTGGTGCCCCACACCAGGGAACTTGACACCAGAAAATGTAGCCATCATTTTCATTACCTTAGGGACAGTCATAAGTACAAGAGGATCACCACCACTTCCTTCTTCTCTTATATCTCAGTATGTTTTGAAGGCATTCCAAGCATCCATTTTCCCAGGCTCTCTTCACTCTGTCCCTTTGATTTGTGATCCATAGTAACCATACTTTGATTTTGTAAAGTCTGGTCTTCCCCTGGGATATACCAAGTAATTTTTCAGACAGAGGAAATACATTTCTCCATGTTACAATGAGGCCAAGGAGGAAGCTTCCATTGTCCTAATTCCCCAGTGCATTTTCTACTCTACGATATACCCAGGATTTCCCTCAATTCACTGCTGTGTGGAAAGCACGTGGTTTACCTTGGTTTACCTTCATCAGCCTACGTGCTGGGTGACTGCAGTGATCTGTCACAGTTTCTGTTATTCATTGACAGGCCTGTGACCTGTCATTTTCTCAGTTCTGATCGGAATTTAGCCACCCTCAATTTTTTTCACTTCCTGTTGTTACTTACATTTCACTTCCATCATGCGCATCAGTAATGAATCCCTTGATATTGCTAGAAACTTACTGTTGCCTTCCTTCCTCCCTCCCTTTTTTAATGCCTATTGTTTGATAATTTTAAAAAGACCTAAGTTCATTGCTTTTTTCTCTTGTCTCCTTAGAGTTATAATTTCTCCAAGAATAGATAAAATCTTAGACAATCCTGAATATACACAGCATATAAGACACACAGTGTATAAGATAGTTATACACAATTATAGACATTCTGCTTTATTTATTTATTTAGGTTTTTTTTTTTTTTTTTTTTTTTTTTGAGACGGGTTTTTTTCTGTGTAACAGCTGTGGCTGTCCTAGAGCTTGCTTTTTAGACCAGGCTAGCCTCGAACTTACAGAGATCCACCTGCTTCTGGGGCACCATACCCCCTTGGATTCCCCTGCATCTTAAAGCCCATCTGTGTAGCTAGTGAATTATTGGATTTATTAGTTAATCTTATCACTAAGTACTATTGAAGACATCCATTGACCTTTATTCTATCAACCACCCTTTCTTTACCTTAACATTTGAATGTCATGGTAGAGTTACAAAGCCATTTAATATATATATATATATATATATATACATACATATATATACATACATATATATGTATGTAAATATATATATATTTAATTTACCCAATAGTTTTGTTGAGTCAATACATGTTTAAATCCTTAAAAACTATTCTATAGCCAGGTGTAGTGGCACACGTGTAATTATAGCACATGGAAGGCTGTGCTAGAAGGGTCATGAGTTTGAGTCCAGTTTGAGTTCTAGGACAACTGTATTGTATAGTGATTCCTGTTTCAAAAAGTATGCAAAGCCTAAAAGAAATTAAGGAAAATTTCAATATATACGAAGGGGGGGGCTTATCTCTCAACTTCATCAGTTACTAGTTCAGTGTGATCTTATTTTACCCACTCCATGGCATTTCTCACCATTGCTGACTTTGAAATAATTCCTAGGTATCATAATTTCTTAAGAAATTCTTTGCTTGTAGTTCTCCCCCACCCCAGGCCAGATTTCTTTGTGTAGTCCTGGGTGTCTTGGAACTAGCTTTGTTATATGGGTGCTGGGAATTGAACCTGGGTCTCCTGGAAGAGCATCTAGTGCTGTCAACCATTGAGCCATCTCTCCATCCCATAATTTTTTTTGTTTGTTTTTGTTGTTTTTTGTTTTTATTTTTTAAATCGGGAGTAATGAGGCTCAGTTTTGTCTCTTTCAGCTCTTAACCTAAAGGTTGCTGCCCTACTTTCTCCCTTTCCCATTATTCATTTCTTGAAGAAATAGCTTTGCTTTTCTTCAGTTTCTGCTTCCCAGTTCTTTACCTGATGCATTACTAAACATGCACACTCTATCATGTGTTTTGTATAAATAGGCAGAGGCCTATTAGAATGCAGGGTTAGTCTGCAAGAGCACACAGTTCTATTAGGAGATGAGGTTAACAGTAGTGTCCAGGTGACATCTTAGAAATTTTATAGCTCTTGATGATTCTTCCCTTGATCTATAAGTGGGTGCTAACATGGCTGTAGTCTCTGTCAGTCTGTACTCAGCTATTCATTAAAATACTCTCATAACATTTTAAAGCAGTTCCTGAGATTTTCCAGAATGGCTTCCTTTGGGTGGAAGAGGAAGATAGGTGAGAAGGTATCCAAGGCCACGTCGCAGCAATTTGAAGCTGAAGCTGCTGATGAGAAGGATGCAGCTGAGAATGAGGATGGGAGCTGGGCTCATGCCAGCAAACGGAGGAAGGAAACCCTTCAGGAAGGCTGCAAACAGAAGAGCAAACAGCTGAAGGATGAAGGCGCCAGTCTGGCTGAGAAGAAAAGGTATGGTTTTTGATTTTTGTTTTACAGTGGCGGGCAGTTTGGTTTTTCTGGTTCGTAGTCCCTAATGGAACAAAGAACTATTGTCTTAGATAGGTTTCTATTGATGTGATCAAACACCACTACCAAAAGCAACTTGGGAAGAAAGGGTTTTATTTCTTTTTACTCTTCCAGGTAACAGCCCATCACTGAGGGAAGTCAGGTCAGGGACTCCAGGCAGGAACCTGGAGGCAGGAGCTGAAGCAAACTCCATGGAGGGACTGCTGCTTACTGTCTTGGCTTGCCTCCTCATGGCTTGCCCAGTCTTCTTTTCTAAACCATCCAGGACCACCAACCAGTCTAGGGGTGGTACCACCCATAGTGATCTGGGCCCTCTCATATCAAACATCAATCAAGAAAATGTACCATAGGCTTGCCCATAGGCCAATCTGGTGGGGGCATTTTCTCAGTTGAGGTTCTTTCTTCCAGAATGATTCTTGCTTGTGTTAAGTTGACATGAAACTAGTCAATGCAGCTGTATATTCATGTTTTAAATATCTGATTTCATTTTTAAAAAGATATGGTTTAGAGACACCTGCAAAATTCCCACTTTGAAGGAAAATGAGTATGTAATACTCACATTAAGGTACAGATACTGCCCCCCCCCCTCGTTCTGCCTAGGGAGTGTAATACAGTGTGTACCTCAGTAGGAAAAAAAAATTACTTAATTATCCTTTTACTTTTTCTTTGCCTTTTTGTTTTGGAGACAGTCTGTGGTAGAATTTTATTTTAAGGTGTGTGATTTTTGTTTATGCTGCATTTGTTTAACTCTGTGAAGCTGTGATTCTTTGCCTGTCTAAAACAACTGATTTCTAATTAAGAGCTGAACAGCCAGTATCAAGGCAGGAGCAAGGATAGGTGGGGCTGTCAGGCAAAAAGTATAAATAGACGGAGTACTGAGGAAGAGAAATAGCAGGAGTACGAGAACAAGGAGATGTCAGGGGCCAGCCACTCAGCCACCCCGCCAGCCACGGAGTAAGAAGGAAAGTAAGATGTACAGAAGTAAGAAAGATAAAAGCCCAGAGAGAAAAGGTAGAAGGTTAAATTAAGGCAAGAAAAGCTGTCTAGAAACAAGCCAAGCTTGTTAACTAAGAATAAGCCTCTGTGTGTGATTTACTTGGGAGCTGGGTGATGGGTTCCTCAAAAAGTCAAAAGAGCAAAATATTGTACAAGAAAGAGTCTTGCTATGTAGCCTAAGCTGGGCACCCCCTCCCCTCCATCTTCATATTGCTAAGATTGCAGAGATATTCGGCCATTGACTTCTTGTTTACTTTTGTAAATGTGGTGGGCTCTCAGGAACTTGATAATAGCATCTTTTATTCATAGCTCTTCCCTATCTAAACTATATATTTCCCATTTGTACCTTCCCTATTTAAACTATATATTTCCCCTTGCATTGATTTCTTATTTTTCCTCTTTTCTTTGCTTAGATATTTCAGTGGGAATGAAAATTCCGTCACAGGTCAATGGAGAAAAGACAAATTATTTCATAGGATATGTTTGAAAACAAGATTAAAAGAAAATAAAAGTGGACCTTTATTAATAATGCCACACAAAAGACAGGCCCTTAGAAAACTAAAGTCTAATCAAAACGAAGATTATCTTTATTTTTGAGACAAGGCTCGTATAACCCAGGTTGGCCTTGAATTTCTGACCCTCCTCCTGCCTCTACCTCCCAAGTACTGTGATTACAGGTGTGTGCCATTACATCTAGTTTTATCTGGTACTAGCAGTGCTAGTCAAGCACTTTACAAAGTGCTACACCCCCAGCCCAGTAAAGTATAAATATAAAATACACAGTTAATGGAAGAAACCTTAGTAGGAAGAAATTTTTCTTTTGGTGTTTGAGATGGGATGACAAGGTCTTACTTATAGCCCAGAGAGTTTGGGGCTTGTGATCTCCTTGTTTCTCCCTCCTGAGTGCAGGTGCTACTCTTCACCATGCCATTACAAGTTTTCACTGTGAAAAGTATTATATCTGTATTAAAGTTGAAGGAATATTGCAACCTTATATTCTGTATGCATGGACTAAACTTTTTACTATCACATATTAACTATATATAATGATGGGTTTCATTATGGCCTTGTCCGGCATGTATATAATGTGTTGTGGTCATATTCACCTTTACCTCCTGCTAATCTCTCCTACTCCCCCCTCCCCCCCATCCAGATGATCCTTTTCCTTTTTCCCAGGTAGTCCTTGTTTGTTTGATGACCCGGTGAATTTCATTAGGGTTGTCTATAGGTGCATTTGGTAAGTGGTTATTTATAGGCATATGGTTACCTTAGCAGCTACATTCCTGAAGAAAATGTCTTTCCCTCCTCTGGCAACCGTTAATGACTTATAGATCCTCAAGGAAGTGGGGCCTCATGAGCCCCCTACTCAAAAAAGTTTGATATTTGTTTAGCATACACACACACACACACACACACACACACACACACACACACACACACACTGCACAAATACACACACATTACATGCACTTAATATTTAGTTTTTAAAATAATCTTTTAGAATAAGTTGTAGACACCTTTAATTTAGCATGCGTCTCCAAAGAATAAGGCTATTTCCTGCCTGACATACCATTATCAGATTATGTGAAAAGTGACAATTCCATGATCTTAGTTCACACTTAAGAGATTTCCAACTTTAGGAATTTCTTTTACTATATGTACATTTAAAACCAAGGCCTAAATAGAGTTCATACATTGTATTTGGTTATTGCATTTTTTTTTAAATTGGTGTCTTTACTCTGTTTGGATCCCTTTCCCCTTTTTAAAGATATATTTTTATGTATGTGTATGAATTTTGCCTAGATTTGTATTTGTATACCATATATATGCCCCATGCTCATGGAAGCTAGAAGAAAACATTGGGTTTCCTGGAACTGGAGTTACAGCCAGTTGTGAGCTGTAGTGTGGGTCCTGGGTGCTGAGTCTGACTCTTCCTCAAGAACATCCAGTGCTCTTACCACTGAGCTCTCTCTCCAGCACCTCCATTAATTAAAAAAAAATTCTTTATATTTATTATTTATTTTTATGTGTATGAGTGTTTTTTGCCTACTTGTTTATATATGAGCCACATTTGTGCCTACTGCCCTTAGAGGTTAGAAGAACATGTTAGATCTCTTAGAACTGGAGTTGGGGATGGTTGTGGGCCGCCGTGTGGGTCCTGTGAACCTCACCTCTAATATTTTTAGAGATACATACCAAGCTTTTTATTTGATTCCTTGTTCCTTTATTTATTTTCTTTGTCTCATGTATTTTTGTAAATTGTTAGCTGGATGTAAGGTTTGGTGGAGAGGGTAGTCATTTTTGGTAAAGTTGTGCTGGACACATCATCATGTAGGGACATAAGTAGCATTAAATGTCTTGTTAGAGCAGCTGTCACAGTGACATAGTGCCATATCTGTTTGCTCTGAGAACTGTTCAGGGCTACATTTTAATATAAATCCTTTAATTTTGAAGCTAATATCAGTTGGTAAAATGTTCTTCATACAAACTTGAAGACATGGGTTTGATTCTCCAGCAGCTGTAGTTATGGGACAGAATTTTTCTTAGGGAGATGAGACACACATATGCACACAAGCAAGCACACCTGCTCACTTCACCCCAGATAGTGAATCCAAGACAAACCAAAGTACAGATATCACCAGAGTCCCTCTTGGTGAGCCATGAGTTTTATTGGGGTTTCTTACGGAAAGATGGGTGAGGGGTTACTTACAGGAGCAAAGACAAAGGGACTCAAAGCTGCTGAGTGCTGGGATTAAAGGTGTGTGCCACCACCGCCTGGCTTTGCTGGTTATTTTAATAATAAATGAATCAGTTGAGGAAGTAATATACTAATTTCTAGGTCTGCTTTTATATTTGATTCTTGGGGAATCTTTTCCTATATTTTAATAGAAAACAAAAATCATGGATAAACTATGTTAGCATCTCAAATTACTAGAAACAAAGAGGTAGAAGTAGCAATCCACATCAAATATTTATTTATTTATTTATTTATTTATTTATTATTTTCTTGAGACAGCCTGACTGTCCTTCTGTCTGTCTGTCTGCCTACCTACCCACCTACCTATTTATGGTGCTTTAGGGATAAAGAGTTTTCTCTTGCAGAACTTTGCAGATTGACCATTGTGTCTTAGAAGAAAATGAATTTCAAGTTTTTCACATTTATGAAATTATTTCTAGAACATCTTCTAAAACATCTTTAGAAATTCCAGTAAGCTCCTGTTAAAATTCATTAATATAGTTGTGTTTCCTTTCTTGATGCTGCTACACTAGTAAGCCATTTAGATTGACCATTGTGTCTTAGAAGAAAATGAATTTCAAGTTTTTCACATTTATGAAATTATTTCTAGAACATCTTCTAAAACATCTTTAGAAATTCCAGTAAGCTCCTGTTAAAATTCATTAATATAGTTGTGTTTCCTTTCTTGATGCTGCTACACTAGTAAGCCATTGATAACTGTCAGGACTTCTGGTAGGATTTTCTGAGGTCCTAATGTTAAAGCTAAACAAAATAATTCATGTTTTCTGCCTACATTTCAGAGCATTGAGTCACATCACCGGAATCAGCTAGGCTGGATGCTTGGAGAACCCTTTAGGATGATGAAGAGTTTTTTTTTTTTTCCTGTTTAGTATTTGTTTCAGAATAACCTATACATAGCTTTGGAAAATAAACAGAATTAAGGGAATCTAGTGGAATTCAGTACTTTGGCCATTCAAAGCCAAATAAAAAGTTTAAAAAATGCCTAAAACATAATGAAGTTGTTTAAAAGCAATGTTAAGGAGTAGCAGTGAAGTTTAAATTAAAACAACCACACTACCCAGCATCTCCCTATCAAATCAACTTTATTGTTTTCACTGCCTTTAGCCACACTGGCCTTTTTTTTTTTTTTTTTGTAGCTATAATTCCGTGTGTGTGTGTGTGTGTGTGTGTGTGTGTGTGTGCGTGTGTG